AATAGTATTTTCTGAAATAAACAACTAAAAATTATATTTTTAAAAATAAACACACTAAAAATGATATTTTTGTAATTGTTCCTTGTTGTTAACATATTGGAAGGATTCCATATTTGTTTTTTGTGGCTATGAATAAAAGATTTGCAACGTGTTACTCGTCGCTTAATTAATTATTATATTTTTCTTGTAGTCACTACTAGTCAACAATGTTCACTTGTGGTAATTAATATAAATTAAATACAATCTTATCTTAATCTTACACAAACGAAACCAACTTTTTGTAAACTAAATTTGCCAAAAGTTGAACAAGATAAAAAGTGAAAGTATATATATATGCTTTAAAAATTATTTATTTTATAAAGCTACTGGAATAAACAAAAATCTTAGTTCCGACCTTGAATTCCCATTCTATTTGTGGTTAAGAATAGAACAAGGCTTCAAAATTCCTGTTTAAAACAAACAAAAATGGAATGAAATTTCTTGAATTTCTGTATTAGACTAATAAAACATATTATCAAGTGATTAATAAATGTAATACATAATAATACAAATCCGTAAAATTGGAACATATTATTTTTTTTTTTAAAAATAAAAAGATAGCAAATTTCCAAAACTAAAATACCATGTCGTATTTCGATGATAAATTTTCAGAACTTATATTAAGTTTCCTTGCATTTTAATTTGGTACTAGATAATCACCAGCGTTATACGCGAATTAATATGATTAACAAGTAAAATCAATATTTTTTGTTTTAAAAATTCATCTATAGTTATTCAAAAATTATTATACGAAATCAAAAACTCATTTAAATATATATATATAAATTTTACAAATATTTTTTATAGAAATGTGTTCCATCCGTGAAATATTTGAAAACAACGGATTTTTAAATTCTTAGTCATTATATATCACTTATTAATAAAATGTATTTGAATACTTATTTTAGGTAAATTTATAAATACTTTAGTGTGTTTGGCAATTGAGATTATAGTAAATGAGAATAAATTACTTGGAATTAATTATGTGTTTGGTAATGATT